CCAGAGAAAATTGCTATGGAGCCCATAGCATCATGGGTGGCTCAGCTTCCCCTGGGCAGACTTCACTCACAGCCTCCTTTACCAGCTCAGGGATTTCTGGAAGGGAATGCCCAATGGGCAGGCAGGGCGGGGACACCCCATCTTGGGAGCTGAGCAGGGAGACCTGCTAGGGGAGGCCCACCTTTGCTACCCTGGGCACCTCAGCAGTACCTCAGCAGACCCTGCAGACTGGGACATCAGCCCATCCCTCTGAATCTCAGCAGCATTCCCACCATCCATGCCCTTTCACCAGAAATCACTCTGCAGCCCTGGGGCTGGGAAGAAGGGGAGGGGCCTGGAATCTCGTCCACATCCTGAGGACAACTGACCCTACAAATCCCAGAACCATGATCTCCGCAGGAGTCCCAGACCTGGGCCTTCCACTCATGCTACCCACTCCCCTCAGTCACTCAGCACACGGAGGGTGGGGAGGTTAGGGGTTCTGGATGGGCCCAAACCTCCATCTGGGTAGGATTGTCTCAGGGGAAATGTGACCGCGTTCAGAGACCTTGGCTGAGTCAGCCAGGCTTTCCCTGGGCCCCTGGGGAGCCTCCCCTCACGGGCCCCCCTCATGGGCCCCAGGCTTAACCCAGCTTAGTGAGCACACAGCCCACAGAGCACCACACACACCCAGCTCAGCATTCCAGGACAGAGGGGCCAGGCCAGCACCTGGCTCTCTCCATAGCAGTGGCAGGATGGGACCTGGCGAAGGCCAGCGGCCGCAGAGGAGAGCCTGGGAGTTGGGGATGGACACCAGGTGGGTGCAATGGGGGGAAGAGCAGGGACAATGGGTTTCTGCAGTCCACGGGCTGACCAGGGCAGGCCATCTGCTGCAGGCATCCCCCACCGGAGACAGGGGCAGAATCCCTAGGTCCAGCCACACGAATGACGCAGACAGTCACAACCTGCCCCCTCTTCCATGACATTCTGTGATCTTCAGATGCCACCCAGCTGCCCAGGGGACTTGACTTCCTGTCAACATGCTGCATTGCTGTAGGCCCTGTGAGAACTGAGGTAGACAGAGGTCATGCCTGACTCCCGGGCCTTGATGACAGTGCCAGGGCAGGTTGTACAAGGCTATCATCCCCAGATCCCAGCTCCACCAGAGGACAGCCATGAGGCCCCTCACCTCAAGGGACACCCCCTTCCCCAGAGAGCAACAAAGATCCAGCTGTACCCCAGGCACCAGCGGCTCACACTTGTAATCCTAACTACTGAGGAGGCTGAGGTCAGTTCAAAGCCTAGTCCAGGACTAGCAAAAAGCAGGACTGGTAGCTTAAGTGGTAAATCACCAGCCTTGACCAAGAAAGCGCAGTGAATTCAAGCCTTGTAGGCAGGTGGAGCGCCGAGACTCAGACCCCATCTCTGCACATACCTCTCTGTGGCCTGGGGCAAGCCCTTCACCGCCCAAGCCCGCGTTACCCCCGGGTCAGGCTTGGTGAGCACTTGTGAGAAGCAGCCTGAGAAGGGGGTGTGGAGGGAAGAAGTGAGCCAGGCCAGGGTAACCAGATGTGGTTGGGATGGAGCCAAGAAGGGCAAGGAGGCACAAGAATGTGGTGGGCCAATCGGGAGGGCCTGGAAGCGGGTGTAGTCAGAGATGGGCTAGGAGGGATTAGGAGCCACATCTCAGATCAGCTGGGGCCATCTGGGTGAGCGGAATGTCCTCTTTTCCCTCAGATGAGAAAATAGTCTTTTTCGGTAGTACTGGGGGATTTGAACTCAAGGCCTCACTCTTGCTCGACAGCCCCCCCCTTTCTTTTGTCTTATTTTTGAAGATTAGTTCTTGCATTTTTGTTAGAGGCCAGTCTCAGCCCCCAATCCTCCTCTCTCTGCTTCTCAGGTAGCTGGGAATCACGGGTGTGCACCCCCACACACCCAGCTTGTTGGTTGAGCTAGGGAATCTCAATAACTTTTTGCGGAGGCTGGCCTCCAACTGTGATCCTCCCACTGTCCCCCTCCCAAATAGCTGGGATTACAGGTGTAAGCCCATCCACCCCCCCCCCCCCCCCCCCCCCAGTGATCATGCCTAAAGTATCTAGAGCCTGCAGGCAGCAAGCGTAGGAAGAGGGAACCTACTTCATCCGTGCTCTGGGTTTGCTTGTATTTTGCTTTTGCTCTTGACCAGTGTGGCTCATTTATAAGGCACAGCTCCTGCCTGCTTGGCTATGATGCTCTCAGGGGCTGGAGAGGAAAATGGTGGGCAGATGGGATGGAGGAGCGCTGGGGAGAGAGAGGGGGTGGACCAGGGCAATGGGGGGGGGGAGACGGACCACCCACAGACCAGCAAACCCCTGAGAATCTGCGCCTGGTTCTGCATGCTTGCTCCCAGGCGCTTGTCCCTGTTGACCTGGGCAGCCCCAGCTTCAGTTCTGTGGTTTGGGGGGGTGGCATGAAGGGAGGTATACAAGGAAGAAGCAAAGTTCTAAGAACCTTGTAGCCCAACCCCCTGCCTGTGGAGTTTCTCCTGCCCGTGCTGGCCCACCCAGCACGCTGCCAGGCAGTCATAGCGGCTCGCCATGCCCAGGGCCTCACTCTGGTGGGCACACAGGCTGCAGGGGCTGACACTAGACTGCATGCTGAGGCCAAGCGTATGGCCCTGGCATGGGTGACAGGGAGCAGCCGGGCAAGCGGGAGGCAGAGGGGGCTCCGGGTTGAGGACCTGCGCTCCGGGTCTGGCTCTGTAGCCACCTTGCTCTGACACATCGACATCTTGGTTCCACCATCTTGGAGCAGGGTGGAGGTGTCCGTCCACCCATCCAGCAGGGCCTCTGTGGGGTCTGGAATGTTCTCAGCATCCAAGGGGGAGGATACGCCACCTTCACTTCTTGTATCCACTGGCCCGGCCAGCCTGGGTGTCTTCTGGTCTGGAGGTTTTGCTGTGTGTGTCATGGGGGTCCCCTCCCTCATGTGATGGGGGATAGGGTTGTGGGGGGCAGGCAGACCACAGGAGGCAGGGTGATAAAGGGTCACCAGGGAACAACAGAGTCAGTCTGGGAGCCAGGCGTGACTGGCTGAAGAGGTGTCCACCCCGCCCTGGGGGAGCCATACAGACCCCACATTTACAGACTGACTAGCTCACGAGCCAATGGCAGGGATGCAGCCCCTCCCACCTGCGAGCTGTTAAGAGCATGAGATAAGGAGATTCCCTCCCCCCTCCCATTCCCACCGCCCGGCCGCTGCCAGGTCAGGACGAATCTCTGCTTAGGTGTGGCCAGGCCTCACACCCAGGCCTTTTGGGAGAGGGCAGGAGAACCCTCAACCTGAGGATGGAGGGAATGCCCTTACCTTGTGAACTTGATGGGGAAAGTTCGATTCACAGCTGAGACAGAGCAGCCTGGGAACACTGTGTCTGACATTACTGTTCACGAGGACTTGGGCTGCCAGGGCCCCGGGGCTCTGCTGGAGCCATTCTTCCAACTCCTAATGATGTGCCCTTTCCCACAATGCTTTGCTGCTTCCCTTGGGCAAAGCAGACCCATCTCTGCGTCTTCAGAATAGGGTTAGGAGTAGCCTTGCTCTGCCCCACCATAGGTATTAGAGGAGGTGGAAGGAGCAGTCCAGAGTTGGGCCTGTTAAAAGGCATGAGGTGCAGAGCCAGCTGCTGACCGCTCATGCCCGTCATCCTAGCTACTCAGGAGGAGGATGAGACCTGAGGATCGGGGTCCAAACCATCCTGGGCAGGAAAACCTGAGAGACTCTTACCTTCAGTTAAAAAATGGCCAGAAATAGCTATGGCTTCAGTGGTAGAGCTCCAGCCTTGAGTGATAAAAAAAAAAGCTTAGGGACAGCACCCAGGCCCTGAGGTCAAGCTCCATAATACACGATCTCTCTCTCCTCTCCCCCCCTTACCTTTTCCTTCCCCCCCCCCCCCCCCACACACACACAAACGGTGCCTGGGTAATGGCCAGCAGTCCTCTCAAGGACCCCAAGCCAGTTAGGCCACCAGGCTGTCCCTGAGGGGCTGCCATCCTCCAGGCTGGGGAGCCTGTCCTCCTTCTCTCCAGGGGCAGCCCAGGACACCCCCCATCACACTCATCCCCACCAGTCTGAGCCCCAGGACCAGATCTCAATACCTGCTGAGTGAAATATCCCAGCTTCCTAGGGCCAGTGCGACTCAAACCCACCATCAGTGAACGGAGGCACCAACACCATCAGTCAATTGGCCATGATGTCTGACCTCCCCAAACTGCAGGAAGCACTGATTTGCTCCCCAAATGGCCTAGAGGCAGACAGGCCATCCTTTAGAACAGCCACCCTGGTGCTTAACTCTCTACTCAAGCCTTTAGCTTTGAAATGTAACATTTGGCCCTATTCTTAGTCAATATAAACGGTCAAGTCTCGGTAACTGGCAGACCACAGTGTTGTCCTCCTCCCTAGGTCTGTACCTGTGTTTCTTGGGTTACCTGGGACTTGTTTGTCCCAGTTCAGTTTTCTTCTTCCTTGGTCTAATCAGTACCTTATCTGCTTAATTTTGACCTGGTCCTAACAATTGCACATTTTATATTCTTTCTTTTGGGGGATCATCACCTTGAGTATTGGGGCACCCCTGAGGAAGAGGGTTAGAAAGCGATCAGAGAAACTGGTCAAACTCAGTAATGTGCTGTTGGTGCGGAGGCTGGTGGGTCTTTGTCACAGAGGCGAATTTTGGACCAATTTTGGACCGAGAGCTCAAGGTGACTGGCATGAGGTGGGGGAGGGGGGGTTGCCAGAAACCATGGAGGAAATGTGACCCCTCCCACTGGGTGAAGGTGTCCAGAGAGGGCAAAGCTAGGACTTCCTGGCTTGGACTCCATGCTCTCCAGGACTGGCTAGGGCCCAGGCCTGGTTTCTGGGGACAGAGGCACAATGACCCGTCTCTGCTTCTCAAGAGGCCTGGCATCCCGTGAGGAGGAGGCAGTGCTGAGTTGGAAGCCCCCAGCTTCAGCGGACAGGCAGTGATGGCCTGGATTGGTCCCTTGCAGGCCTGCAGGGACTTCCTGGAACTAGCGGAGACGCACAGCCGGAAATGGCAGCGGGCCCTGCAGTATGAGCAGGAGCAGCGGGTCCACCTGGAGGAGACCATCGAGCAGCTGGCCAAACAGCACAACAGCCTCGAGCGAGCCTTCCGTAGCGCCCCCGGCAGGACCACCGACCCCACTCAGAGCTTCAGCCAGGGTAAGCATGGCCTCAGGGACCTCAGGAGGCCATCCTCTACCCTCAGCCTCCCTCTGCCCACCAGGTTTGCTTACAGTTCATTGTGGACCCCAGTTCACACACACACACACACACACACACACACACACACAGCTTGCCTGGCCAACCTCAGCCTGCCTCTCAATGGTGGTGGATGTCCCATGCTTTGGTTCCAATTCTCTGAAGCTCAGTTAGCCCATCAATCTACTCTGTGGCAGGCTAAAGGTTACAGGCACCCTGGACAGGGTTCTGTCAGGAAAGGAAGCTGGGCCTCAGACAGGTCCACCATGCCAAGAGATCAGGAAAGGCTTCCAGGAGGAGGGATCAGAGCAGCTGTGTGTTGAAAGGAAGAAGGGAATGAGAGCTAGCACGTACAGTCCAGGCTTGTGGGGAGGGGAGGTCAGGGCGGGCAGAGGGAGAGGGCCTGGACGTCCTTGGCTCTCATCTTCCTTTCTGAGACAGTAAATTGGGCCGGGGACTCTGCGTGTTTTTAGGAAGCCTCTTGAACACTAAAGGAGAGGACAGTGAGGAAGATGAAGATACCGAGTACTTCGATGCCATGGAAGACTCCACGTCCTTCATCACTGTGATCACAGAGTCCAAGGAAGACAGGTGTGCCCTCTGCAGGTGGGGACGGGAGGTACTACCCATCCCGAGGGTCAGCTTTGAACCCACTTGGTTCTCTCCATTTGGTCTATTGGCCAGCTATGTTCTTCAGGCTTTAAGTCTGTTCCAGGTGGAGTGGGGGCTTAGATTCTATTCTCCCAGCTGTAATTCCACTCAGAGGTTTAGGTAGGAGGACTGCAGTCTGAGGCTGGCCTTATGCAAAAATGCATCTGAAAAATAGAGCTGGGGATGGGGCCTAAATGTTAGTGCACTGAGTTCAGACCCCAGCACAGCCAAAAGCTTTCCCTTCTATTGAGAATGGGCACTCACTGAACTAGCTGCGGAAACCCAGCAGGTGCCAACTGCTCATTTTCTTCTCAGAGCAGTTGAAGATCCCACAGCTAGTCCCATCCACAATGTTAAGGGATTATTTTTTATTTGCCTTCAATTATTTATAAAAAGTGTGCTCTCCAAGCCTGTAATGATAGCTGCCTGGGAGGCTGAAATCAGGGAATCAAGATTGGAGGCCAGCCCACGCAAAAAGAAGTTCACAAAACACTGGTGGCCTGTAATCTTAGCTACTCAGGAGACTGAGATCTGAGGATCACAGTTTGAAGCCAGCCTGGGCAGAAAAGCCTGTGAGAATCTTTTCTTATCTCCAATAAGCCAGAAGTGGCACTGTGGTTGAGTTAGCCTTGAGCACAGAGAGGCTCAGGCCTCGAGTTCAAGGCCCCGAGTTCAAGCCCCAGAGCTGGCACCAAAAAATAAATAAATAAATAAAAGTTCACAAGAGTCCATCTCAGCCAGTGGCTGGGCAAGGTGGCATATTTCTGTTAACAGGGAAAGCTCAGTAGGAGGATTGAAGTCCAGGCCACTCTAGGCTTGAAAATAACTTAATTCAAGCCAGGTGCTGATGGCTCACACCTGAAATCTTAACTACTCAAGAGGCTGAGGATCATGATTCGAAGCCAACTGGATCAGGAAAGTCTGTGAAACTCTTATCTCCAACTAACCATCTGAAAACTAGAAGTGGAGCTGTGGGTCAAAGTGGGAGAGCACTAGCCTTGAGCAGAAAAACTCGGGGACAACACCCAGGCCAAGTTCAAGCCCCACAACAAAGAAAAGAAAAGAATTCAAAAATAGAGCATGGTTCAAGTAATAGAGTGCAGGCCCTTAGTTCAAACTCCAATACTGGAAAGAAAGAAAAAAAAACTGTTCTTTCTTTCAGAATGTTTCTAATCCACTCAAGTACAACCTTGAAAGGGCACTTGCTGGCAGTGAACACATTGTCCGTTTTCTGGGTGTGGGTACAGAGGGAAAATCTAAAAATGGGCTGGACACAGCCACTGCTCCCTTGGGGCTGGAGTCTCCATGGACGCACCTGCTAGTACTTCCCCTTCCGTCAGCCCTGCAACTCCAGCTTGGGACCATTTCCTACCTCTCAGTAGCATATTTAAGCTGCAGCCTGTCTGTCCTGCCTCCTCAGCTTCCTTCCGCTCATGGCTCTGAAGCCAGGATGCCCCTGCCCACCCCTCCACACCAGAAGCCCCTAGGTCTGGGCTCCTCCAATCTTCCAAGTAGCTCCTGGCCACCAAGGGCTGAGTTGATTGCCATTCAAGGCCCCCATAGGGCTTGCTGACCCCTTGGCCGTGGTGTCCCCTGCTGCTTTGGCCATCTGTGCAACAAGTGTCAGGACACACACACACACACACACACACACACACACATACACACACACACGTTCTCAGACTTGAACTTAGGGCCTAGGTGTTGTCCCTGAGCTTTTTTGCTCAAGGCTAGTGCTCTACCACTTGAGCCACAGCTCCACTTCCAGCTTTTTGGTGGTTAATTGGAGATAAGAATCTCACAGGATGCTCAGATCTCAGCCTCCTGAGTGGTTAGGATTACAGGTGTGAGCCCCCAGCACCCTGCAGAACACAGGGATGTAGGTGACCCATTTCCTGCCCCCAGGAGCCTATCTGGCGTGCGAGTCAGATGCCCATACTGAAAGATGCCTATACTGAAAGGTCATGCAATATGTGTTGGAGACAGAAAGGGGCCCATTGGGGACCCACTCTATGAGAGCTACAAGTCTTTCATAGGGTGATGGTCATCCCCCACCTCTTCCTAGTCCTGTGTCATGGTCCCCAGGAGAGGCTGGGCACAGGGGCTGCACACACGGGCTGGGCTGAGTCTGAATCACTGCCTGGGGCCCTCAGAGAAGCCTGCTGGGAAGGTGGGCGGGGTACCAGTGTCTCTGACCTGCCTTCCCCCTTTGTGTCCTGCAGAAAAACAGAAGAGGGACCTGTGTTAGGCTCCGTGGACTGGACCTCGTCAGACAATGTGAGTGTGGGAGATCAGCCGAGAGGCAGCATGGGGCAGAAGCTGGGGGGTCTTCTGGGCACAGAGTCCCCAGGGCACACCCCCCACTCCCTGACCCTCTCCACCCACCCCCCACCCATCTGCCTCCCAGGCCACAGACAGGCAGAGCCAACCTGCTCTTCCCACAAGCAGTGTGAGCTCTGATGCCGGTAAGGCCAGGGGTGACCTGGGGGCCTCTGCTGAGAGGCGTGTCCTGCTTCTCTGGCAGGTGTTAGGCAGTGCCTCGATTGAACCCAAGGGTTCATCCAAAGTCAAGAGGCGCGCCCGCATCCCCGACAAGCCCAACTACAGCCTTAACCTCTGGAGCATCATGAAGAACTGCATCGGCCGTGAGCTCTCCAGGATCCCGATGCCGGTGCGCGCGCGGCGGACCTGGGGCCCTCCGGGCTGGGACCTGGGTGCCCCCCACCCTGGGGTGTCATTTCCTTCATGGCACCCGAGGAACAAGGTGTTCATCAACCAAACCCCCAGATAGCAGGAGGGAGACAGGGAGTGACTCCGGAGCAGACAGGGCCGCGCCAGGTCCCAGCTGTCCTGGCCTTGGGTGGATGGAAAGTGGTGGGAGCGGGTTTTGCTAATAGAGGGGAAATTCTCCCTCATACCAGGGGTCGTTCCTGATATCCGCACCCGGAAATAAAGGCTCAAGCAAGGTCACACAAAGGTCCAAGGGCAGAGCTGGGGGTCCTTGTGTCTCCAGGCTGCAGTGGCCTCTCCTCCATGAACGGGCTTGAGGATTCCAGGCCAGACAGCTCCACTGTAGGACTCCTGAAGCCCTTCCTACCTTTGGCCTGTGTCTAGATCTCACAGTGGAGCCACAGCGCCCCCTGCTGAGAATCTGGGGTATCGCGCTAGGTAGCACAAAAAAGACTACAGTGAAGATGGGAGGGGGGCGGGGGTGCTTGCCTGAGGCCCACCCCACCCATCCTGTGCAGGCCTCTGCACTGGGGCCCTCAAAAGAAAACCACAGCTCAGAATCTGAAGAAAACCCCCGCCTCCACTATGGATGGCTGAGCCAGTGCTTGTCCCTCCATCCTGATGGCCCTACACCTGCAGTGGCCTGGCCACAGTTTACATACTGGTGCGGGGGGGGGGGGGGGGGGGGGAGTAAATGTCATCAGAGCATAGCAGAAAGTGAGGAAGAAAGCGGAGGTGGGGCCACAGTGCTGGATGGCAGGGGGACAAAGGGACATCTAGGGGAAGGAGCCCCTCAGAGCAAGGATGTTCTTAAGAGTGTGAGAAGAGCAAGGGTGCTGTGGTGACCCAGGGGCCAGCTTCTGGGCTGACCACCCACCCTCTCCCCCCCCCCCCCCGCCTCCCCCTCCCCCCACATGGGCAGGTGAACTTCAATGAGCCCCTGTCCATGCTCCAGCGGCTGACAGAGGACCTGGAGTACCACCACCTGCTGGACAAGGCGGTGCACTGCGCCAGCTCGGTGGAGCAGATGTGCCTGGTGGCCGCCTTCTCTGTGTCCTCCTACTCCACCACGGTGCACCGCATCGCCAAGCCCTTCAACCCCATGCTGGGGGAGACCTTTGAGCTGGACCGCCTCGAGGACATGGGCCTGCGCTCCCTCTGCGAACAGGTGAGCCCCCCCGGGCTGGCCCTGCGCTGCCCCTCCGGCCTGTGACCGACCACCAAACCACTGGTGACCAGCCGCTGGGCTCAGGGACAGCACAGCCATCACACGGAGGACTGGCATGGGGGGGGCCTATACGTTCAAAGCCTGGGGGTGGGCGAGGAGACCACTCACCAGACAGGACACTACTACAGCAGTGGCCACGGTGGGGCTCAGGGCGAGGCTGGGCTTGGTGCCTGGCAAAGGCCACAAAACCTTGGGGTGCCCGAGGGAGTGAGGGGAGCCCACAGAGCCCGTGTTGTGGAGTGAGGAAAAGCTGTGGAGAGTTGAGACAGGCCAGGGCAGGTGTCCAGGAAGTGGGGTTAGTGGGGCGCCCATGCTGCGGAAGGGCAGCTCAAGGGGGGGACAGGAGAGGAAGTCCCTGGACGTCCCCGCCCATGGTGAGGACTTGGTGAGGACTTGCTCCCACCCACTCCACCCCTCCCCACTTCCTATTCCCCCAGAGCCACACTCAGCTACAGCTCATCTCACTGGGTGGGCTGGGCAGGGCTGCGGGCCCCCATATCGTGCTGTTTTGCCATTGGACCCTGCCTTGGGTCCAGGACCACCCCTGGGCCCCAGAGGAAGCTGGGCCCCTGGCTGGGAAGGTGGGTGACTTCCCGTCCAGCCAAGGTCACGTTGTGTGGTCTGGCCCTAGGTGAGCCACCACCCACCCTCCGCGGCCCATTACGTGTTCTCCAAGAACGGCTGGAGCCTCTGGCAGGAGATCACCATCGCCAGCAAGTTCCGGGGCAAATACATCTCCATCATGCCGCTGGGTGAGCTGGGACGGGGGGCCCACTGGGAGCTCTGCCCCCCCCCCAAAGCTGGCCTGGGGCTCCCAGGGGAGACCGCGGTGCAGGTCTGCCCCTCCCCCCACACCAGTACCCACAGCCTCCCCACCTGTGCTCTGGCACCAGTCTGCATGGGTATTTCTCTGGTTCCCACCCTGGGCCTGTGAATGGATTGGCCAGAGGCCCAGACAGGGAGGCACCGTGACCTCTGACCCCCCCCCATCCAGGTGCCATCCACCTAGAATTCCAGGGGAGTGGGAATCACTACGTGTGGAGGAAGAGCACCTCGACTGTCCATAACATCATCGTGGGCAAGCTCTGGATCGACCAGGTCGGTGGGAGGGCCGCTGGGAGGAGGGGCGGGGCTGGGAGGAGGGCGGGGCTGGTGGAGGGGCGGGGCGGGGAGCTGGGAGGCGGGATGGGGCGGAGGGGGTGGGGCTGGTAGAGGGGCGGGGCGGAGGGCGGGGTTGGACAGCTGGGAGGCGGGGACAGGGCTGGGAGGAGGGCGGGGCTGGTGGAGGGGCGGGGCGGGGAGCTGGGAGGCGTGGCTGGGCGGAAGGGGTGGAGCTGGTGGAGGGGCGGGGCTGGGAGCTGGGAGGCGTGGCTGGGCGGAGGGGGTGGAGCTGGTGGAGGGGCGGGGCTGGGCAGCTGGGAGGCGGGGACAGGGCTGGGAGGAGGGCGGGGCTGGTGGAGGGGCGGGGCGGGGAGCTGGGAGGCGTGGCTGGGCGGAAGGGGTGGAGCTGGTGGAGAGGCGGGGCGGAGGGCGGGGTTGGGCAGCTGGGAGGCGGGGACAGGGCTGGTTGGAGGGGCGGGGCTGGTGGAGGGGCGGGGCGGGGAGCTGGGAGGCGTGGCTGGGCGGAGGGGGTGGAGCTGGTGGAGCTGGTGGAGGGGCGGGGCTGGGCAGCTGGGAGGCGGGGGACAGGGCTGGGAGGAGGGGGCACGGGCCCGGGGTTGGGCCGCGCTGACCACCGCCCGCCCTAACCAGTCAGGGGACATCGAGATCGTGAACCATAAGACCAAAGACCGGTGCCAGATGAAGTTCGTGCCCTACAGCTATTTCTCCAAAGAGGCGGCCCGCAAGGTGAGCGGCGCCCCCACCGCAGCCCCGGAGGCCCCGGGGCGGGGGGGGGGGGGCGGAGGAGAAGGGGGGGCTGGGAGCGCGGCCTGCGCTGACGCGGGCCCTGCCGCGTCCACAGGTGACCGGGGTGGTGAGTGACAGCCAGGGCCAGGCCCACTACGTGCTGTCGGGCTCGTGGGATGAGCAGATGGAATGTTCCAAGATCGTGCACAGCAGCCCCAGCAGCCCCAGCTCCGACGGCAAGCAGAAGACCGTGTACCAGACCCTGCCAGCCAAGCTGCTGTGGAAGAAGTACCCGCTGCCGTGAGTTGGGGGTGGGGAACCGTCCTGGGGTTGTGGGGGAGAGGCCAGGGAGCAGGGGACAGGCAGAGGACCCCCCTCCCAGAAAAAAAATCCTGACCAGCTGGAAGGTCTCGGTCTGCGCATGCGTGCACATGGTAGGAGAATAAAGTCATGCACTTGTCATTGCTGTAAAAGCCCCATGCCCCACAGTGAGCAAGCGTGAAACTCTCCGGTGGCCTCGGATCCTGGGCCAGACAGAGGCTCTTTAAAAGGTGACAGGACACCAGATGCCCGTGGCTCACGTCTATAATCCTAGCTACTTCAGGAGGCTGAGATCTGAGAGATGATTGCGGTTCCTTGCCTGAAAAGTCAGTGAGACTCCTTTATCTCCAATACACCACCAAAAAGCCACAAGTGGAGCTGTGGCCCAAGCGGTAGAGAGCTGTCCTTGAACATTGAAAATATCTTACAGGGAGCTATTTATTTTAGAAAACAAAACAAAACCAAAACTAGCTGGGCGCCAATGGCTCATGCCTGTAATCCTAGCTACTCAGAAGGCAAAGGTGTGGGGATCGCGGTTCAAAGCCAGCCTGGGCAGGAAAGTCTGTGAGACTCTAATCTCCAATAAACCACTCAGAAAACCGGAAGTGGCGCTGTGGCTCGAGCCCTTGTGTTGAACTGAAGAGCCCAGGCCCAGAGTTCAAGCCCCACAGCCAACAAAAAACAAACAACCAACCAAACAAAAAAGTACCACAGAAGATTGCAAAGAGAAGATCATGGAGACTGCACAGGAAATAAAGGAGCAATAGATGACATCTCTTGCATATATGACCACACTGCAGCAAAGATGAAGCCTGGGGGAGACAGCAAGTGGGAGAAGAGGTTTCACGTGACTCTCAGTGTCTCTGGACAGCCTCACAGCTCAGCAAGTCAGACAGCACAGTTGAGTGTCCTAATCCAAGCCCCAAACAACAGAGGGTTTGTCTGGTTTTATTTTTTTTTAGAAGTACTGGACTTTGAACTCAGGGCTTTTTGATTTATTTTTTCAGATATGGTCTCCCATTTTTTTATCTAAACTTGTCTCAAACTTTGATCATCCTATCTCCCCCTCCCAAGTAACTGGGGTTACAGGCATAAGCTACCACACCCAGGCCTAGCAGTTTTCTACATCTATTAAAGTAGCCAATTTATAGAAGATATTACATGGTGAGCACCAGAGCCCTCTTAGCTATTTCCAGCAATACTAAGAGCTGGAAGACAGCCAAGTGATATGTATCTTCCACATTTTGTTAGCCCAATTATATAGTCTTTCAGACTAAGCAGGAAAAAAGAGAAAATAATCTTCACTTTTATTCTGAAGCCAAAGCAACTCTTATACCAGATCAAGCTAAGAGAATGGTAGTAACATTCTACCTCCATTTGACTTCCAAAGCAAGATAACTGAAAATGCAGTCTCCTCATGTATAAAAAAGAATAACATTCTGTAATCTTGTTTAATTTTTTTTCCAGGGCATACTAGACTGATTTTAAATAGGCATTTACATATATACATGGACTCAAAAAATACATATGCTCTCACGTTTCTTAGAAAGTTAGCTGAAAAAAACCAAAACTAAAAACAAACACATCTAGGAAACTACAGATTCATCCTGGAACTGTAGACCAGTCCTGATGAGTGGCAATACTACAGCACCTGAGAGCGAGGCCAAAGGAGAACCTTAAAAAAATGAAAGTGGACAGAAATGACCCAAGAAGCTGGATGTGGCTTATGCTTGTAATCCTAACTACTCAGGAGTCTGAAATGTAGACTAGGATTGAAGTTCAAAGCCAGTCCAGAGAGAAAAGTCCTCAAGACTCTTATCTCCAAAATAATCAGCAAAAAGCTAGGCAAGAGATGTAGCTCAAGTGGTAAATTACCAACTGTGAGCCCAAAGCTGTGCAAAAGCATGAGGCCCTAGGTTCAGGCCTAAGTATAAGCACAAAGGAAAAAAAGAAATGTACTTCCAGCCAGGCGCTGGTGACTCATGCCTATCATTCGAGCTACTCAGGAGGCTGAGAGATAAGGATCACGGTTCAAAGCCAGCACAGGCACAAAAGTCTGTGAGACTCTTTTCTCCAATAAACTAGTCAGGAAAAGCCAGAAGAGGTGCTGTGCCTCAAGTGGTAGAGTGCTAGCCTTGAGTAGAGAGAGGTTCAGGGACACCGTCCAGGCCCTGAGTTCAAGTCCCACAACTAACCAAAAAAAAAGGGGGGGATGGGCTTCCAATTAACCTATTATAGTCAAAGAAGATACAAAGGAAATCAGAACGTCTACCTGGCTGATAATGAAATCAACACATATCAAAAGTGGTAGGACACGGTGCCTGGAGCGACTGCGGCCCTAGCATTCCCGGGTTACAGTGAGCGCAGCAGCCCCCGACGTTAAAGAGCGAGCGGTGGGTGTGAGCAAAGCTTCCCCGCCAGCACAGGGTCCCGACTTCCAGCCCCGGGCTCCTCCCCGCGAAAGGGAAATGCAAAATGCATTGCAGCCAAGTGAAAGGAAAGACTATAGCAGGAAAGCCAAGAGAAATCGCCGGAGACCGAGGCGTCTGGGACGTGAGGGACGCATGCGCAGCAGCGTGCAGTGCAGACCAGGCCGCGCCCGCGCCCTGCCGCAGCGGGGAGCCCCGAGGGGGCCCGAGGGACCGAGTTCGGAGCCCAGAAGGGCCCGCAGTGCAAAGCAGCTGCGGCTGCGGGCGGAGCCGGCTGGGCGCGCTGGGCGGGGCGGGCGCGCTGGGCGGGGCTGGGCGCGCTGGGCGGGGCGGGCGGGGCTGGGCGGGCGGGGCGGGGCTGGGCGGGCGGGGCGGGGCGCGCTGGGCGGGGCGGGCGCGCTGGGCGGGGCTGGGCGCGCTGGGCGGGGCGGGCGGGGCTGGGCGCCCTGGGCGGGGCTGGGCGGGCGGGGCGGGGCGCGCTGGGCGGGGCGGGGCGGGGCGCGCTGGGCGGGGCTGGGCGGGGTGGGTGGGCTGGGCGCGCTGGGCGGGTCTGGGCGCGCTGGGAGGGGCTGGGCGGGGCTGGGCGCGCTGGGCGGGGCGGGTGGGCTGGGCGCGCTGGGCGGGGCGGGTGGGCTGGGCGCGCTGGGCGGGGCGGGTGGGCTGGGCGCGCTGGGCGGGGCTGGGCGCGCTGGGCGGGGCGGGTGGGCTGGGCGCGCTGGGCGGGGCTGGGCGGGGCGCGCTGGGCGGGGCGGGTGGGCGGGGCGCGCTGGGCGGGGCTGGGCGCGCTGGGCGGGGCGGGTGGGCTGGGCGCGCTGGGCGGGGCTGGGCGCGCTGGGCGGGGCTGGGCGCGCTGGGCGGGGCGGGTGGGCTGGGCGCGCTGGGCGGGGCGGGTGGGCTGGGCGCGCTGGGCGGGGCTCGGCGCGCTGGGCGGGGCTCGGCGCGCTGGGCGGGGCTCGGCGCGCTGGGCGGGGCTCGGCGCGCTGGGCCTGCGGGCGGGAAGGCCCGGCCGGGTCCGGGGGTCCCCGGGGCTCAAGCCCGCCCCCCGCCCCTCGCTTCGCAGGGAGAACGCGGAGAACATGTACTACTTCTCGGAGCTGGCGCTGACCCTGAACGAGCAGGAGGAGGGCGTGGCGCCCACCGACAGCCGCCTGCGGCCCGACCAGCGGCTGATGGAGAAGGGGCGCTGGGACGAGGCCAACACCGAGAAGCAGCGGCTGGAGGAGAAGCAGCGCCTGTCCCGCCGCCGCAGGATGGAGTCGTGCGCCTCGGGCTGCGCCGCAGAGGAAGGTAGGGAGCCTGGAGGGAGGGAGAGGCGAGGAGAGACCGAGAGAGAGATGAGAGATGAGAGATCAGGTTGGCGGGAGAGGAAGGGGGGAGAGCGCAGGTGGAGGACAGAGTGACAGAGAAACAGGGAGGGGCCAGGCAGGGGGGAGGGGGAGGGGCAGGTGGAGTGGAGGCGGGTGTGCTGAGACGAGGGAGAGAGGGGAAGGATCAAGCAGGTAGAGGTGTGTGTGCGTGCGCGGGTCAGGTGGAGAGAGAGGGGTAGATGAGGGGAAGAGAGGGAGAGAGAGAGAAGACTCCCACGGCCAGGAGACAGGGTGCAGGGGCGCCCTGGGAGCTGGCCTCTGACTCCCCAATCCACCACCGGCCCAGCAGAGAAGGAGTCTGACAACTACATGCCCCTGTGGTTCGAGAAGAGGCTGGACCCGCTGACCGGGGAGACGGCCTGTGTGTACAAGGGCGGCTACTGGGAGGCCAAGGAGCGGCAAGACTGGCACATGTGCCCCAACATCTTCTGAGCACCCTCTGCGGCCCATCAGGCACCTGCCCAGCCAGGTCCCCCCTTTCTTTAATGCACTCAATTGAATACTGAATGGCCCTCCCCACCCACATTCATTTCCTTTCCTCTTTTTTTTTTTTTTTTTTTTTGACCCTTGTTTTCTCCTTTTCCTACAATGAAACTTTTGGGGGGCTCCTCTCTTCGATTAGAAGGGGGAAGGGCCGACCTGGGTTCTCTTCAGCCCCCAGGTGCACCAGGTCACCCGCGCCCCTTTCCTCATGGACTTGGGGGCCCCATGGGCACCCCAGTTCCTACAACTCAGGCCGGCTGGCCCGGGCCAGGGGCGGCCCAGATCACCAGCCCCTCGTAGGGAGCCTCTTTTGACTTTTTTTTTAAGAAAAAAAAATTTGCATTTCTTTTCCAGCCATGAGGTTTAGTAATATTTTTAGCACAGCACTTAGTACTAGCTCTCCAAGTGTGCTTCCTTGCCGTACATTGATTGCCCTGGCAAGAACCTCCCTTCCCCTTTGCCCCCCCCCCTTTTTTAAAGACATCAGAAAAGCCAGACCCCCTGAGTTGGGAGCACTTGGTAGCTCAGCACAGCAAGGTCCTGCCCAGCCCCCTCCCCAAGAGCCTGGAGCCCACAGACACCCCATAGCAGGGGGGTCGGGACAGGGGGACTGCAGAGGGTGTTGGCAACACCCTAACCCCAAAGAGGCCAGGAAGGCTGGAAGGCAGGGCCTTGCAGGTGCTCCCCACCCGAGAACAGGGCCCCAAATCAGCAATAAGGAACAAACCCTCGGCTCGACCTGGGCTGGTGACCCGGGGGCCCATCCCCGCGCCTCCCTCTCCTTGTCCTGATCTGGGGTGCTCCAGCTCATCGACCCCTCCCCCCGACTCTTTATTTGCCTAATTTATATATATATATGATATATAAATATATAAAATAGCTATTTTGCTTAAATTTCTATGATATGTAAAAGTGAAAAATGATGAAGACAGCATTCCTGTCTGAGTTTAGCCTCCGGTCAGCTGTGCCCTGCCCTTTCCTGCTCCTTCCAGTGGCTTCTGCCAGCCTTGGGGAGGACTGGACCATGGTGACCACATCCCAACCCTCAGAAACCCCCTCTCCCCCCTTCCCACTTGAGTTTGGTCCTGAAAGTTCATCTCGAGCTTTTCTTTCTACTCCAGGACTGGGATTTCTTTTTTTTATTAAAAACAAAAACAAAACACACAAAAGTGAAAACACCAATGTATGAAATGCCTTATGATGCCACTCTGGAGGGGAGTAAAAGGGGTGTCCATCTGCCTCTCCTCAGCGCTGTGGAGTGTACCTCTTTCCCCAGCACTGTGTGTGAGTGAGCACCTTCTGACTGTAATAAAAATTGAAAAACAAAAACAACAAAACCCTTGGCTTTGGAGTTTTCCATGGTCTCTGGTGGGAAGAAGTGGGGAGGGGCTGCAGGTGTTAAAGGGACAGTGACCTTTCACTGCAGCAGCAGCGTGAGGAGCCAGGGGCTTTATTCTGTCCAGGTCCCAAGCAGCAGGGGGCAGGCCTGTGGGGGTTGGAAGATCACAGCTTGGCACAGATCCCTGCCCCCTGCTGTAGCCACCACCAACTTCAGGTTCCTAGGCTGCCCAGGGAAAGCCCAAGGCACCCACCGCCCTTCAAGAGGGCCGGCCTGCCCGGGAGTTCCTCTGCATTGCTTAGTTGCTTGACAACAGTGGCCTGGTTGCTTCTGTTGCCTCAGTTGCTAGGCAACGTGGGTCACAATCTGCTGAGATGAGGCCCAGTGCTGGAGGCCAGGGGAAGGGGTGAGGCAGGCCAGACGCCACAGGGACATGGGAGCCCAGATTCTCCTTTGCTGCCTGGATGCCCAGCACCACACCATCCACACTGGCTCTGCAGAGCTGCTTCAAGCCTATGGGGAGGAGGCCACTGGTGAGTGGGGACAAAAGAGCTGGAGTGGCAGCTCTCCACGGAATGGCAGGGAGGAGGTAGCCCGGGGATGGAACTGGCCCTGAGGGGAGAGGAAAAGCTGGTCAGGGCAGGGAACAGACTGTCTGGGGGCAGCCTAGAGGTGACCAAAGAGCTTGCATTGGACCAGGGGAACTCTGAACAAGAGCCACCAGACCAACCCTGTATACCAGCCACCACTATAGAAAATTTAAAGGATCTGCAATGTAATAGACTACAAGGGACCATAGACAGATCCCACAAAGCAGTGGAAAGTATGTCAAAAACCTTTATGGGGATGATTGAAAGATACCTTGAGTTCAGAGGCAAATTACCGTCTTCACAGATGGGCCATCACTGCTGATTCCAAAGCTACAAGTGTAACACAGTCCCTTATTGAAGTTTTATCAATATCGTTTTAAAAATTAAGCCAGCTGGGAGAGATGGTGTAAGCCTATTTGTGAAGCTGAGACGGAAGAATTGTGGTTCAAAGCCAACCCCGGGCATAACAGTTCTTACCACTTCATCACCACCAATGGCTGGGTGTGGGGGAAGGTATCTGTCGTCCCAAGTGACACGGGGCATACGGATGAGAGGATCACTGCCCAGGGCAGCCGGGGCATAAGCAGGATCCTATCTTGAAAATGATGCGGGTGGACTGGAGGTGTCACTCAAGTGGTAGAGCATCTGTCTTGCTAGCATAAGGCACTGAGTCCCATCCCCAAGACTGCCAAAAAGAAAATAATTTGACAAGCTGGTGAGATTTCTATGAATGGAAGAATAATTGCACACAAAAAAAATGGCTAAAGTTTTTTCAACATTAAAAAAAAATCAGGAGAGTAACTCCCATTTCTTGCATAGGGAGCAAGAAATCTGTTTCTCTCCTTTCTTTTTCTCCATCCCCTAATGCTGTTATACTAAAACAAATCCTTGCTAACATTTAAAAAAAAGAAACACAAGACAGGAGAAAACCAACAAGGGCTTGACATACAGATAGATACCCAAACAAGTTAGAAAGCCCAAACAATGTACTCTGGCATTGCACAATATACTGGGCACTATCTGGCATACTGAGCCCTCTGCTGATTTGTTCAACTCCACCAGGAGCTGTGAGCTCCAGGAGGGTGGGTATCTTGCCACACCCACAGTGGCTGGCCCTGTATAAATGACTATTGAATGAATAGGCCAGGAAGACAAGCTAGAGCCCGCAGGCCCGGGAAGGCAGCCTCCTAGGCAGCAAGCAGTATGGCTGCAGCTGGGAGAGTCTCTCAGGAGAGTCCGAGCAACTCCCCATTCTCCCAAACTTGCCACAGAGGCAAGTTCCGAAGAGTATGTAACCCAGAAAATAGCATTTAAACTGGTCCCTTATCAAAGTTCTATCTATATCTTTCAAACACTGGACAAGTTCGTTGGGTGAGGTGGCTCAAGCCTGTAATCCTATCTACTTGGGAGGCAGAAGCAGGGGCATAATGGTTTCAGGCCAGCCTGGGCATAAAAGTTCACAAAGACTCCATCTCACTGTATGGCTGGGTGGAGTAGCGCATGCCTGTCTTCTCTAGCAACATGAGGGAAGGACACGGTATTCTTTTTCTAAAGCCGGCTGACATGTGTAACTTCAAAGAACAAAAAAGGACAGTGATCAAATATAAAAAAAATATTAAGGAGTGGAGTGGCTTTTCTTTTTGTTGACAGTCCTGGGGCTTGAACTCAGGGCCTGGGCGCTGTCCCTGAGCTTTGCTTGCTTAAGGCTCGAACTCAGCCACTTGAGCCACAGCTTCAGGTCCAGCTTTTGGGGTAGCTAATTGGAAATAAGAGTCTCATGGAAAAAAAAAAAGTGTCATGGGCTTTTTTGCCCAGGTTGGCTTTGAACTGCAATCTTCAGCTAGGATTTCAGACATGAGCCACTAGTGCCCAGCATAGAGTACTTTCTCAGCTTGTGCCAATGAGTTTCATCCCCAGTACTGCCAAAAAAAAATTCTCACAAATCGAAGACCATAGGAAATACAGCCCAGCCAAGCAGGGTTTGCTACAGACACGCATGCACACATGGTTGATTTGGGGAAGCTTTGCCTGGTAAGACATTCCATCATCTAGTTGAAAGAGGACTTTCCTTTCTGGCAATATGGTGGACTTGTTCCTAGAAAATACTCTCTTGTAGCCAGGTGTGGTAGTTCATGCCTCACTACCCAGGAGGCAGAGACCAGGAGGATCTGGGTTCAAAACTGTCCTGCGTAAATAGCAAGATCCCATCTCAAGTTCAGGCATGGTAGATTGCACCTGTAATTCCAGGCATGTGGGAGATATGGGTAGGAGGATCTAAGTCTAAGCCCACAGGAGCATAAAGCCCTAGACCTTATATGAAAATAAGGCAAGGGCTGGGAAGGTGGCTTAGTGGTAAAGAGCTTGCCTTGCATGCATGAAGCCCCAGGTTCGATTCCTCAGCACCACATAAGCAAAAAGAAAAAAGCTGGGAGTGGTGCCGTGGCTCAAGTGGTAGAGCGCTAGCCTTGAGCTGAAGAGCTGAGGGACAGCACCCAGGCCCAGAGTTCAGGCCCCACGACGGACCCCTCCCCAAAAAAGAAAATAAGGCAAGAAAGTTTGGGGGCATGGTTCAAGTGGTAGAATGGCAAAACAAAACCCAATTAGATTAAGGATCAATCTCCAAAAGAAAAAAAAGAACAATCAAATCTATTTCCAAAGTGGAGGAGAAAATGTTAGTATTCCCAAAGTATCTTTTAAGAACCAAAACAAAGATATTAACACAAACATACTAAAACACTATTTCAATGAAAACTTATTAAAACACTATTAATAGTCTCTTGTGGGCATAGGCTTTGATGAATCATTGTATAAAACTTGAAATTATTAAAAGTACTACTTTCCTAAACAGATAAAATATATTGAATGAGAGGTAGAAAATCTCAGTCTAAATCAAGTCAGGAAGGCAGGAACAGTGCCGTATTTCTGTAATCCCAGTATTTGGGAGGTAGAAGCAGAAAGCTCACAAGCCCAAAGGTCAACTTGACTTACATAGCAAGACCCTGTGTGCTGATGGCTCATTCCTGTAAATCCTACTCAACAGGATCACAGTTCAAGTTCATCCAGGGAAAGGAAAGCCCAGGAGACCCAGAGCCCCAGTTGGCTACCCAGAAAGCCAAATGTGGCACGATGGCTCAAGAGGTAGAGCACTAACCTTGAGCAAAGAAGCTCAGTGGCAATGCTTAGGCCTTGAGTTCAAGCCCCAGGACTGGTGCATGGGCGCATGCGCAAAACACACACCACCACCACCACCACACCACAAAAAAATCTCAAACAAAAGAGCTGGAGAATTACTCAGTCGGACATTTCTTGCCTAGTATGTCAAGGTCCCTGGGTTCAATCTTCTACATAGCAAAAACAAGAGGAAAGAAAGGAAGGACTTGGAAGGGAAGTGGAAGATAAGAAGGCAAAAGAAAAGTACAAGAAATAGAGACACAGAGGAATAAAAATAAAACGACAGCAATAAAGAACTGGAGGTATGGCTCAAGTGGTAGAGTAGTACTAGCCTTGAGTAAAAAGACCAAGAATTTGAGGCCCCAGTACTGGCACAAAATAAATAAGATCTTTGTGTGGGTAGCTCATGCCTGTAATCCTAGCTACTCAAGAGGCCAAGATCTGAAGATTGAGGCTTAAAGCCAGCCTGGGTAGAAAAGTCCATGAGGTCCTTTAACTCCAGTTAACCAGCCAAAGCCAAAAGTGGAGCTGTAGCTCAAGCAGTACAGCACGAGCCTTGAATGAAAAAGCCAAGTTCAAGTCCCAGTACCAGCAAAAATAATACCAATATGTATATAAATTTCAGTGACCTAAATAGCTTCTGTTGAAAACAAATCTGGGTTAAAGACAAAACAAAGGGCTAGAGACATGGCTCAAGTGGTAGAGCACTTGCTTGGCAAGTATGAGGCCTTGAATTTGAAAGAGAGGAAGGAAGGAACGAACGAACGAAGGAAGGAAGGAGGCAGGCAGGCAGGCTATATGGTATTTACACAGGAATATGCCTGAAATGTAAAACATAATTATACAGACAATACAGCCTTTAAGGTAAAAAATCATCTTCTAGATATCAATTACTAGATATTTTTAAAGGTGAAAGTCACAAAGCTATAAAGATACTTATTCACTAAGTAACATCTCAAAATATATAAAAGTATAAATCCCAAGGAGAAATAAGTCCATAATGAGAGTGAAATTTAACATGTCTCTCTCAGTAAAATAAGAACTCAAACAAAAACTACCAGTTAAGCTCCTAGACACAACATACAAGGCACTACATGTAACCATACATGGAAAGTGTTTGAAGATCAATCACACATCTGGGCCAGTCAAAAAACATCAGTGATCAACTCTATGCAGCTCCTTATTCTTAAAAAGTAATGAGGTCAATTCCAAATCAACCACCA